TCAGAATTCAAACTCAAAATCACTTAACAAACAAGTGAAATGCTTCATTATAAGCATGTTGCGAGAAATCGGGAAATCGAATTGGTCGAGCCCATGTATATATTTTTTAAGCCAAACGTGACCAATGATGGCAAAAGTGTAACCATTTTAGATGTGGATAAGCTTAAAGAAGCTTATCAAACCTATAAAGAAGAATACTTTTGAAGTAATCAATGATAGCGTACAAATACAGCGTGCAACACTATCCACTATTTACCAGAAAATAGTGCTGATTAAACAAAAAATAATAATAAGCATAATTTAGCAGTTAATTTAGTTAGTAGTATCTCTCAAACCTGTTGAGTCAAGAGTTTTTGACCCAACAAGTCGTATACATTCTTCACGAGCCCTCATCAAAAGGGCTTTTCCGCAACTTTCCCTTATCGACAGTAAGTTAACATGCCAGCCCTTTTAATAGTGCAATGACCGAGTTTTCAAAGATAATTAATCGTCCAAACTTTAGGCGCATTTTCAATGCTATCGTTTAACCCTGGCCGGGATTTTGGTTACAAGAAGTACACGTTTAAATATAGTCATCTATTGTTACATTTCTTRTTTCAATAGTTTCAGAACGAATTAAACGAAGTTTTAAAAGTACATTTGTTTTTTTCAATGCATTGTTTGTTTTAGTAGCAAATGTATAAATATTTGARTATACGCTTTAGCCGACGGTTTCGGGGACGTTTTGTGTCTTAAAGCTGTTGAGTCAAGAGTCTGAGACTGGTACGTTCTTCACTAAYCCTTATTAAAAGGGCTTTTCGGTACTTTTCCCAAATTGATAGGGTTATTGACAGYCAGCTCTTTGATTATAGAAGTACMATGACCGCGGTTGTCATATTTTCAATGCTATCGTTTGAACCTTGCCATTTTTGGACATCCTTGTTTAAATATAGCCATGTATTGTTACATTTCTTGAACATTTCAGAACAAATTGTATTTTAAAAGCACATTTTTTTCCAATGTGATTGTTTTTGTAGGAGCAAATGTAAAATAAATGCTCAATGGTTAATAAATTTTAATAAACGCTTTACCCGATGGTTTCAGGGCAGTTTCGTCACGTCTCTCAAAGCAGTAAAGTCGAGAGTCTGAGACCCAACAACTCGTACGCGTTCTTTACGTACCCTTATCAAAAGGGCTTTTCACCACTTTTCCCTAGTCGATAGGGCTATTGACCGCAAAGTAGTGTGCAACATATCGCTGAAAGTCAGGTTATCATCAAGAAGATCGACTGAGACTGACAAACGTATACCAGACTTCCTTGGTAGCGAAATAGCCAAAATAGTTCCAACATGGTTATCAAATACATACCCCGATGACAAGTGATTTCTCGTCACGATCTCTTACATCATAAGTGCTATTTGGCWCCCCCAAAAGGGCATTTTACTCGAAGTCCAACTCGAACTCGAACTCGAATTCCAACTCGAGGGTTTATGTCTCCCCCCCCAAAAAGGGCATTTTACATTGCGACCATTTAGCCAGTTTCCGGTGATATAAAGTTTTGGCGCCAAAACCATTGAATACATTTTGTTTGCTATTTACTAAATCGCCTAAGCGAGTATTTTTAGATACTTGTAATACGTTTTTGTCTGGCCGAACTGGGTACAGGAATAGTTTTTTGACAAGTCAATTCAATATTTACGAAATGCTATAACATTACTTAGTAAATTAATAACACACGCTGGAATGTTATAATATACACTTAATGACTGTTCCCAAGGGAAACTGTTATTTTTTTTTCCCCGAGGTACGCCGAGGGAAACACTGAGATTCGAGGGAAACAAAAACTAACCGTTTCCCGAGGGAGCAGTCATTAAGTGCTTTGTTATATTGGTAAATTATGTGAAAACAAATCAAAACACATTGCATGATGATTCTCACTAATCATGAATCATACTTTATTGTAAATATAATATTTGACCATCGCGACAAAATAGCAAGATGTTAAGCATTTAAATTACATTGTGCTTGAAAATAAAACTAATATAAATATACAAATGCCAAAAAACTAGCAAAACTTTATGAATGAAACAGTCAATGAGTTCCTGAATAGAAATTTAACGTGACATTTGTCCAAATTCACCGTTTCTCTCTTGGTTTCTCTGCAGAATTCTATCAGAGTCGTAGCCAAAGCAGTCTTTGTAGCTTTGTTAGTGTTTTCCAAGTCTTTGTTGACAACCATTTCGTCTATTTCTTGACTAAGATTTGAAAATCTGTTTTAATGCCGGCTCCATTTTNACAGAATTTTTGTGTCTTCTTCGATCATAAAGCACAGAATTTTTGTGTCTTCTTAGATCATAAAGCACAGAATTTTTGTGTCTTCTTAGATCATAAAGCACAGAATTTTTGTGTCTTCTTAGATCATAAAGCACAGAATTTTTGTGTCTTCTTAGATCATAAAGCACAGAATTTTTGTGTCTTCTTAGATCATAAAGCACAGAATTTTTGTGTCTTCAAAGACCATAAAGCACAGAATTTTTGTGCCTTCAAAGATTGATAAACGCGGAGAACTTTAAGAGTAAATTTAAGCTGAAGTGAACATTAAGAGAAAAAGTTTATCAATTGACATGTGGTCTAAAAGGTTTCATTATATAATGTTGTAATTCCTAGCTCGAATAGGAGTGCAATATCTTAAAGAGCATATGACACGAAAACAGTTTTTTGTCCAGTGAAAGAACGTTATTTGAAAACCCTAAATCTAAAATATTTTTCAATTCTGATRAAAACTTGCCAAGTTACAGCTATTTGAAATTAGCAATTTTCCCCTGATTTTTGTCCCATTTTGGGGGACTGGATACTAGCGTTGTGACGTCATTTTGTTGGCTTAGTATTTCTGCACTCCGCAATCTTCTCTTTGCGCCAGTAAAACCTCTTTCGAATATATCGGATTGTGAGTCAGAAACTAGCGCCTTATTATGCAATACCGATGTGGATATAGAATAGTAAGAATCAGACGAAATTATGGCGATTCAGGATAAAAAAAGATAGCTAAAATAATGCTGAAGTGATCGACATAGAATCGCGGCCGTATATCAGACCAGCATTGAAGACCCTTTTGACTTATATAAACAAACTCTTGCTCGAAGAGAAGTGTATAAAACGAGATGTGAAAAGTATGCGTACNTATCACCATCATTGTCACTGTCACCACCATCATCATCATCACTATCACCATCATTGTCACTGTCACCACCATCATCATCATCACTATCACCATCATTGTCACTGTCACCACCATCATCATCATCACTATCACCATCATTGTCACTGTCACCACCATCAATCTCACTATCACTATCGTCATCCATCTGTCGCAGGACGGCCTGCACGGCGGGATGTTCAACCCTAAGAATGAAAACAAATTCCACCAAGAACTTCCTTCTGCCTCCTTTATTACATCAAATAATTCCCAGCTAATTCCCAATCCTCTAAATAAACGCATAAAGCCGTCTTATGATAATTACTTATGACTTCTAAGGTGCTACTTATGACTTATACTTAACTTATTACTCAATATGACTTATACTTATTACTCAATATGACTTATACTTAACTTATTACTAAATATGACTTATACTTAACTTATTACT